CAAGCAGTAACTGAGACGAGCGAGATTGAAAGAAGAGAAAAAGGAGCGACATTACCTGTGGAGCAGGGGCAGCGACAGGTGCATCCGTATCTTTTGGTGCATCCAACTTCTGCTCCGACTGAAAAGAGGACAAAAAGACACGTGCAAACAGTGTGTGCTAAGCGCTACCGCTCTGTATTCGTCGACGGATCGCGCGATGCGCCACAATCAAAAACTCTCGTCCGTTTGTCACAATTCGCGAAACTCCATTGTTCGACCTACTGTTTTCAACGTCCCACAATGTTAGTGTTACATCGAACAGCTTCTGATCGTGACTCGTGCTTAAGGTGCTTCATCGAACGCTCGTAGAAGAAAAGAAATGAAGGTAGACAAGTGCAATCCGTTGACGAAGGAACAGATTTACAGATAATATATAGGTGAAACTAGCGATCCAATAAGGCGCAAATTTCCGTAAGGCAAGCGTTTCATTTTTTTTTTTTTTTAAACGGAAACTATGAATGTTTGTTGCAATTCGTTAAAAGTCATCAAATTACTCGTTAATGAAGTCTGTGAATTTGGTTTGCAAAATCATCCATTACGGTAAAAAATTCGGGAATTATCTTCCACCTTGAGTAAGAAAGAGAATCAATAATACCTTGGATTTACCGCAGGATTCAGGAGGGACATCGTTGACTTGTGTTCGGAGGGAAGTGACGGGGGAAGAAGCGGGATTCGGGGATTTGCGATTCGGGCCAGAAGACGGCAAGTTTTGTACCGTGTGCTGACTGCGTGTGTTCGTGTGTTGGCTCGAGGTCGCACGAGGTTGTCGTACTAATCGTCGTCTGTAACGCGGTCGTGGATTTCTCCGGTAATTACCGACTTGCATACTCTCGCCGACAGTCTCGCCGTCATTGATCACCTAATTTTACAATACACGTAATCTTTATAACAGCTGTCCGCGATGTGCTTTGCCAGTTACGAAAATTCGCCGGTACGTCCCGCTTCATTCTTACAAAGCGCGAGATAAAAGAAAAAAAGGGATTGTCGACAAGTACAGAACACATATTCCGCGTGCGTGGATGATGCATCGTACAAGAAGGGATTGATAGAATCTTTACTGAAAACAAGAACACAATTTCTAAATGACAGTGCATCAGTGCCGTTATAGAGAAAAATACTACTACGATTCATCATCTTTTCAAATAAAAACTACCGTGCATATTTAAACAGCTAGTTTTCAAAGTGTTCGTTATTTATACCAAGAATGCAAAGTTGAAATAAATGCACATTTACAATCTGCCAAGTCCGTTAGTTAGTTACGTGTGTAATAATGCAGCACTCTTGTTAGAAAAAAAAGAGGCACTTCACCATTCAAGTGCAAGCAATCGAGGATACAGTGAGTTCTGAGGTGTTTGGCATAATAGAAATTAACCAGAACAAAAGTAGTTTTAAATCAAGTGCAGATCAAAAGAATAGAATATTTCATCTAAAGTTTCGAGGCAACCGTATCTCGAAATTTGTCTTAATGATAGAAAAAATATTTGAAAAAAATCTAATTCAAATATATATTTCTTAAAATCAAAACACTTTTCTGAGTTTTGCGCAGCGTCTCGGAACTCTAGATGAAAGAGTGCGTGTAAGATTTGGGAAAACATGCTTGTTCGCGATCGACGCGATTCAACTCGATACCATCGTCCGCCATCAATCACTGTAATGAAATCGGAATGTGTGTGACTTCAGCTTAGATACTAACCCGTACCTGGCCATCCTGGCTACGAGGGCGCCGTGGCGGGCCACCTCTTCCTCCGCGGAAATTGCGGCGGAAAAAGCGCCGTGATGGACCACCGCGTCCACGACCACTTCCGCGCGGCGGAACACCCTCGCCGCCGGTTCCTTCTCCTTGCTCACCACCTTCGCCAGCATTCTCTCCCTGCTGCGCTTGAGCGGGCCCGGAACGCCGTCCTCCACGATAATAACCGTCGTAATGACGTCGCAGCCTGTAACGACGCTGTTGCTGCTGTGACTGGCCGCCGCCGTCGGCCGCGTTCACGTCATCACCATTCTTGCCTTCACCTAATTCATCCAAACGGCGAAAGTTAATCTTGACGCCCGAGAGACTTTGCGAGCGATTAACATTGTGGCGCGAGAGAGCGCGATTGCGTACCTTGTTCGTAGCCCTCTTGGCCTTCGCGCGGTCTGCGATTTTGAGGTCGGCCGTTGCCGCGTCTCGGGTAAATCCAATGAATACCGCGATATCCGCGACGCTTGTCCGCCGCGTAGGGCGAACCCTTCACCGCTTCTCCGGCCGGACCGGTGACATTGGCGGCCTCGTGGCCCTTCTCGCCGATGACTACGTCAAACTCCACGACCTCGCCATCTCCCACACTGCGTACGGCCTTCCTTGGGTTGTTTTTGACTATCGCGGACTGCGATTACACGTAACAGTTAGATATATATTGCGATACTTTAAGAATAAAGTATTATTTAATGCGTTAAACGTGAAAAACTTACCTGATGTACAAACACGTCCTCCTTCGTGTCATTCCTGAAGCAATCGGAATAAATGATTAGAAGCAATCGATATTCATATTTTAATGCAGACTCGAAATTAATAAAAACCAAACAATATTTATAATTTTAATCATTTCGGACTGAATATTAAGATAAAATAATTGTCTCTAAAATAACTCCGTAATTATTTTTTTATAATAAATAACTGTTGTATTTCTTCCTTTGAATTTCAATTTATGTTTTATTATGTTTCTGTGGAAAAAAACCATCAAAATTTTGTCACAATAATAACAATCATGTCCATTTATTTATTGCGCAGGTATCGCGGCAAGTCTTGCATCAATGTGACGTCTGTCTGCATTCTCTACGAAGTTCCACACGTACGCGCGATACACAACGTGTAGCAAATACATAGTGATGTGTATATACACGTCTATCCTACGCATGAATTCGCGAGCGCGCGGATGTAATCCGTGAAGCTGCGGAGCAAAGCACGGAGTTAAGAGGTCGTCGAACCCCGGCGGTGCACTCAGGAGAGAAATACACAATACGTACACAAACGCCAGCTGCCGCAACTAGGCACCCTTCCGTGCGCGGTTAACAAAAGGTGAATCATTAGGTAGAGAGTTTAATTGCCTGAATCGATGTCTCTCTCGGTGAAAATGAGATCATTAACAATTATACTGTTATAAGAGGTCCACTCTTATCCAATTTCTGTAGACTACAGTCGCAAAATATGGAATACTAAGGTAAATGTACCTTTTACCGAACTGCTCCAATTTACCGACCAATTTACTATTTACGTTTAAAAATAATAGCCATTAACAGTACGATTGTCAAAACAACTGATTTCGTTGCATAAAACTTCATGCAATATATTCTCAGTTGTTTTGACGATAGTTTTGACGATAGTTCGGTAAAAAGTACATTTACCTTACTTTTATCCACGATAATTTCTCTTTTATTTTACGACAGCATTAATTAGCTGCGAATAATGACTTTATTAATTTTGCCAAAAATTTTAACATCTATTATTTAAATATGCTATATGTATCTGTTCTAATGAATTTGACTGTACGTCTCGGAACGTGGATCAATGCCGAATAATTAATGGAATGATCCAATGGGTATCGAGATGGAACGTTGCTCTTCCATTGCGGAATAATCGAGTTCGCCGAATTAGAGACGAACACGATGAATGAACAATGGATTCGTACCCTCGATTCAGGCTATTAAATTTTAATTAAATTAGTTTTAGGAACAGATTCTTTGATGATATGTATAATGCATCCAAATTTCTAAGAATATTTTTAGTACGTCTCTAAAGCACATTTCTGAATAACTTCTGGAAAAATGTAGAAAAAAATGTGCTGCATCATTCGGTTCTTTCCTTCATTGTTACCTGCTCACTGTAAAACGGCTTCCTCTCGCTTATATATTTAGGATTTTACCTAAGGTTTCTGTCATTATTGCGAGCATTGCAAAACAGGGTCGCAGTGTATTTCCATATTTTTAATATTATATATTTTATTATTTTATATTTTTATATCAATTTTAAGTCTGTTCCTAATTCCACATTAAGACCGAAAAAAAAAACAAAGTAAATTAAGTTATAATTTACTTCATAAATCACATGTTGGAATACAGTTAAAATTAAAATATGAATAAATTCGCATTTCGGAAAAAATATACGACAGCATCTTTCAGAGAAAGATACATTCGTAGCACCACGTTTCTTAAAAAAAGATATGAATATTCAAACAAAGAATACAATTATTTATTACGTTTTTAGATTTCTGGAGATTGATTTCTCGAAAACCGGATTAACTGTAACACGCGGCGACATGTTCGTTGAGGGACGAACGAAAGCGTTCTATATTTGTAAACAGCTATAACGGTCGTTTCTAATGATTTTATGGCACAGCAGGCGTCAGTGAAAGTGCATTCGAGAAACTCTCACGTGCAGGTAAGCATTTGAATTTTGCTTAGCCTTGGTCGTGAGGAACTATTTTTCCGCCCTTCCCTCGTGCTAAAGAATCTACCTAAAAAATCTACTTAAAAAAAGGCACTGGGGCAAATTCCTCATTCGTTCATCACGACGTGATCCTTTTTTTACTTTTTCACCCCGGAAGAACGGAAACGTATTATAGCGCAACGAAAGTTCCGCGTGTAAAACGCGCGGCAAAACGCCGCCGTCTGCGCGCGGGCGCGAGACGATTTTCTGGCGTCCGACCAGATAAATAAAGGGACCTCGAAATAGCGAGAGAAACTGACTCTACGCTCCTATACGGATCCGTACACGTGTCGAATGAAGCGTCTATTTTCCGTGCGGCAGAGTGCCAGGTCGAGGTTGCAGGTCGTACCTGCAGCGGAGACGGCGATTTTCCTAATATTAGAGACTACTACTTCCCTCGTGCGCTGAAATCGTTATCATATATTAGAATAACTCGAAGAATCCCTCGTGTTCCAAATCTTATCGTTCGGAATAAAAAAATGCAGCAAGAAACAATATCGGATTACTCGCAGAAATTCACGCATATTATAACGCTTCGTCATGATGGATTCTCAAATGGATTTAAAAAATAAAATTAGAAGAGTAAAATAATGAATTATTAGTCACAATAAAATATTAAAAATTATATCATTAAATAAATGTTTTGATAAATGTGCAATAAGTATGTATTCATCTACTTTCACATTATTGCGAAAATATACGTAAAACGATGAAATAATAGGATGACTCATGCGATCGATGAATATGTTCGTTGATTATCGGAATTAATTCATGATCTGGAGTTTCTCGAGTAGTCGCAGAGAGGAAATAAATAATTGAGTTTCTTTTTGAATAATTGAATAGCCACAACAGCGAATATCGCAAAATTTATTTAACGAGTGCATGATAAAAATGGAAGTGGCAAACATAAATTTAGATATAATTCATAAACGACTAAAGCTGTGACTAAAGCTGTGAAAAAGATAATTAAATATTTGCGATGCAGTTGCAATGAATGTAGGGGAGACGCAACAGCTAATATACGATAACGCTTTAATGCTCACGCGGTTATAGCGCGAAATGGGTGTTTAAAATTAATAGTGTATGACTAACGCTTACGCCCACGCGAATAGACATGTGTGTCCTTTTCTATCCGGTATTTCAAAATGTCGAGAGAACCTCATAAGTTGTGAAAAAAAAGGAGAGAAACAACTTGATGTGAGATAATTGTTAAATAATAATCACTGACCTATTTATAAAGCCGTATCCACTTTTGACGTTGAACCATTTGACGGTTCCTGTGACCTTATTAGCTGAAATCCAAAAAAGTGTATAAATTATCAAGCATATCTGCCAAATATAAAATTCACATAAATTTGTAACAAAATTCAGTAATGCAAAATTTATCATTTTTATTTTAAATTATTTGCAAATTATATTCCGCTGTAATGTATCAAACAATAAAAATAACAGGGAGCAATTTTTCATAATGTAAGAAATTATCTACAATTTCGAAGCATTGTGTGTGAATAAGAGTACACTGAGTCATGTAGGAATGTCGTCTTTACTTATTATTATCAAATTGTGAAAACGACCTTCGGGAAGGGAATAATATGTTTCACGGTATTAAGTTATTATTACCACGTGTTTACGTACAGGTAACCGCTCGAAATCGAAATGTAACGGCCGTTTTTATAACATGAGCAACATTTCTGAGAATAATGCATTAGAAAGCAAGATCAAATAGCAATCTAAGTAAATAGGCAACTGACAGAGATAAAATAATCATTAAAAGGATATTTATATCAATTATTTTTATTTAAGTGCATATCAAAATTTTTTAACTGTGAAGTGTCGTTGGAATCTGCAAATTTATGATTAATACAAATTGCATTCACGAATAATAGTATAATACGTTATTATATATATATATACTTGATCTCGCTTCACGGCGAAAATATGATAAGACTATCTTCATAACAGTTACAAGTAACCTTGAAGCAATATAACCTAAACAAAGGTCGAAATTAATGTCACAACGATAGATCGACCGTGGTTGTATCTGTGAAATTCCTCAAAATCCGAAGATCGGAATAATATTCGCTATGATAAACTCATAGAATTTGTAATAAAAGTATCGCATATTATATACAACAATGTTGTATATAACGTATATAATTATGTTATATATAACAATCTTAAGAAATAAATAAGCATTATTTAGAATATATATCTCATATTTCTGAAATATTAGAAATTTTTAATTTTAATGCTAATGTAACGTATCGATTTTGGCAAGATTTTCGAAAGCAGAATTATATCACTTCTTAAATATAAACTCTTTAAAAATAAACTAAGCTTGCACAATTTTTAAAACATGAATAAGAAATCGATTCTAATTTCAACACGTTTTCGATGGAATTTAATCTGTCTTTTTATCTTCGAAAAAATACAAGAAACTTAAATATGTTACAATGAATTTCAATATTCTTATAATGCTGTAAAAGAAATTTTTATATATTGCGCAGTTTCGATATACATATTAATGTTTCGTACACGCTATCGAAAGGCGAATAAAATATTTCAATGGCGAAAGAATTAGATCAATTCAACGAACTTGGAGCTTACAACTGTCCGCATGCAATTTGCCGCGGAAGCACGCTCCGGAAAGCACGCCGCGGCACGCTTACATAACGAAAACGTGGAGCGCGCGGCGAGAATATTTCGGATCGACGCGATCGCTCTGCTAGAAAGGAAAGATCGATATGATGGATTTCGGAATGCTCTGGAAGCTCGACGTGAATGTCCGGTTTCCGGACGCCCACAAGATCCGCGCCCGCGATTTTCAGGTTATGCGAATTATACCGCAACGCAGTGCGCCACGAGGGTAAACGACGCGGCGTCGGTGAAAATCGATGTGGCCAGACGAGAATGGAGCCACCGCGAAGACGCGTAAAAAAATTCGGATAAAAATTCAAGCGTCAACAGAGCAAAACGGATGACGAGCGTTTCGTTTTGACGCCGCGTCAACGTCAGGCCGCGATGCAGGAAACGGAGTCGAGACGTGGATTTTCCGCGCGATTTCCGCACGCCGGCCACATGGCTCGTACGTAACGCCGCGAGCGTGGACGCCATTACGGGTGGAGGAATGCGCGGCGGCGGCGGCGGAAGAGACGGTTGTTCCCGGGCGGCGAATTTTTTCGCCGCGTCGTGCATCAGCGCACGGCGCGGAAAACGCCGCGCGCACGGTAATAATGCAAGGATGCTCAAACTCACCGATGACCATCTTCTGCTGGACAGCCTTGGGTTGTTCGGGCTGCTTCTCTGCCTCGGCCATGGTGGTAAAAGCCTAGCTGTTAAACGGCTGGCGAAGCTTTCTCTTCCTTGCTTTTTAGTCGTGATGGGTCGTGATGTTAGATCCCTACTGATGCTCGCTTCCAAGCGACCGAGCAAACATCATGCCCAGTGTAACGTGCGCGCTGATTCGCCACCCTCCTACGGTCAGGTGTTGTATCAGCCAATCGCGCACTCCAAATTTTCACGGAAATACACGATCAGTGTCGAATATCGCCGAAGATCATACCGGATTGTACGCATGCGTGCTTTGCCATGCTGCTCAGCCGTGAGAGCATACCATAACCACGTTACACCGGTCTTTCCATTCCTAGTTCCAACGAATTTTCGAAGACTCTTCAAAGTTGACCTTTGAAATATGCATTGTCCAACTTGGATAATGGAAAAATGGAAACTTTCTGTCTTAAAATTGGAAGAAATGTTACCGCCTTCGCGATATGCTGTCTAAACAGCGGACACAAATTCATCAGAGAATATGTATTTTTTTAAAATGGACAATAAAAGAGAATTGACCTTGAAATATTTCAGAATTTTAGAAAATAGAAAAAAATGCAGGAAATGTTTAAAATGCAATACACATTAACATGCAATACAATAAAAATATATCAGTACACTAAACAAAGAAACATTCAAACTTGGAATAAACATACAAAAGCAATCAGTATTTTTTGTAAAAATCAAGAGAAAACTTTAATAACGTTCATCATAATTCTGTATGAGAATATATTACTTGCTCCAACATGTTGAATGCAATTAATGTGTTAATAAGATAATAATTTCAATGCTTCGTGTCATATGCTATTAAAAACACATTTAGATGATTTCCTTGTATGAGTAACTCGAAAAAAATGAATAGGCCAGATTTCTCTTTTGATAAATGACAAAAAACTTTCAAAATTAATAAGTTTTAAGAGCTACAATAATCAAACGCTTTTACTGTTTATGCAGTGAATAATATATTTGCCTGCTTTTCACTAATGTGTAAGAACACACATCATATCTATATGTATACTGAAAAAGAAAAACAATAACAGTACAGTCAATCATGATGTAGAATATGATCTCCACGTGTGAAAAATACATCATTGGATCGAGATAAAACGCAAAAATAACGGGTTAATATATAATCATTATTGAATCAATATTCATCATAAATGATAAATACAGCTTATATTTTGTTCTAATTTTGTACAAAAATTTCCACAATTCGAGACGTATATCACAACATACACACTTCCCTTATTCGTTGAACTTCAGTTTAAATATTACCGTATTACATTTTGTTACGTAAGTGGAAGAACATTTACACACGAGTTTCACTCGTTTAATCGTAACCGAAGTATGAAAAGGCAGAGCATGTACTTATATCGATTTATAACAAACATATTTCTGTCATTTAAATCACAATTTGTATTTTACAGAGATATCTCGATATGCATAATTTGCGCAATGATAGGAAACTTCTTAATAATAAAGAACAATGTTATGCCCGCAACATGATAAGTGATACACAATGATAATAAGAATATCCGTCTGTTGCATGAGTTACGTATCAATTATTGAGTGTCATGTAATGAGAAAAAAGTACAGCGTCTGTGTTGTGTAAACTTCAACATAGATGAAACAAGTATGACCACGTATGAAAAGAAAAGCGCAACACATATTTTCATAAATTAAGTAGATTTAAAAATTATCTATGGAGTATGTGTGCTCTGTAGTTTCATTATCTCGGTTAATTACAAATATACAATGAACTGCACTGGTGGGTTTCTGAATCACGCGTTGCGTTATATTGCGCAATGCCAAAAGCTCCGTGAATAAGAGTTGTTGCGTGAATTTGAAGCATCTTTTGCAAGATTTATATCATTTCTAACGATTAGAATGAGCTAAAACATTAATAGACAAAACGTAGCCATATATGTAAATTGTTTCACCTAACTTAACCATCTGCGATATTTCGGTTGTTTTTGATGATGCAGAAAAATAAAAAGAAAAGGTATTCAATTCAACGATATTATGATTAAATATTATAAAGAATTAAATTTTTCTAGATTAATTATAATTTTTAAGATCAAAGTCATCATTTTTTTAAATTTTAAATGCAAAGTGACTAGAAAAATCGATGTAACTGAAATTACACGATTCTAGTTGAAAAAGAGACAACCTTGAAATGTGAAAATTATAGTTAAAATACAGTTTAAAAACTTTAACCGTAATATGTTTCCTTAAAAAGAACTTCTATTTATTTTTCTGTATCATAAAAAACAACAGAGATATTTCAGGATAATTCAATGAAATACCCTATACAGCATAATATATATATATACCTATTCATACAGGGTAAACTTAGCAACTGTCAGCGCAAACTGTATTTTAAAAACACGGGTAGCAAATCGCTTGTTACTTATCCTCGCAATAGGTCTGTTCTTTATAGCTGAACTGGCTGCACTAATTCGGAGTTTATCTTTCTCCTTCCATTATGGAGGGAAAAAGATAAACTCTGAACTAGTGCAGCCAGTTCAGCTATAAAGAACAGACTTTATATATAATCAATAGTCATATAATTTTATTTTACCAAACGTATTAACTATCGAATGCGGCATACACATCGATTGTATCTCTTACATTCGAGAAGCTATGTATTAAATAAACACTCCGAATGTATTTCCACTCCAAAGTTGCACTCGAAATGGGCGGCATTTACATTCTCCATCATCTTGGTTTCCGCATACGAATTGATCTAGATCGCGGCGCCGTGGAGCCGCTACCGATGCTGAACATGCCAGGCGTCGAAGGATTGAAAGTCGGCATGTTCGTGGTTCCGAAATTGAGAGTAGGAGTTGCGGATGATAATGGAGTAGCAAAATTAAACCCAGCCGGTGCTGAAAGTATAAAATAATGTTGCATAAATTGAGCCAGAATAATTTGAAGAGAAAGACAAGCCATAGTCGGTAATAAGGTTTCATAGAAATGCATAATTTTAGTGTATTCTGAATTAATTTGTGGCACAGCGTAATCTATTTTATAATTAAAATTGCATTAATATTAAAGATTTAAGTTTAGAGTAATTACCTGGTTTGGAAGATGGGGATCCAAATTGGAAAGAAGTGGATGGTACGGTCGTAGGATTATTGCTTCCAGCGCTGAAATTGGATCCGAAGGAAAACGTCGGGTTCTGTTGCCCATCTTTCTGATTACTTCCAAAGACGAACATATTACTCGTGCTATTGCTTGAGTTATTAGCGTTAGAAGCTCCGAAAGAGGAAATGGATGTGCTAGGTGTGCCGAAACCCGTCGTACTCACGGGCGGTGCACCGAATGGAGATTTATTATCGCCGAATGTGTTGTTGCCGCTTGTCGCAGAGCCGAACGCGAGGTTTGGTGTGCCAAAGGTATTCGTCGCCGGGGTGGCACCAAACGCTCCAGTAGACGGCGTAGTGTTCGCTCCAAATATAGGCACCGACGATGCGTTGTTATCCGCCGAACCGAATATACCGGTCGTAGCGCTGAAAGCTGGTGTGGTCTGCACGTTCGTCACCGTTCCTGCGCTTGGTGATCCGAATACGGTCGTCGCGTCGCTCGCGGTGTCGAAACCGACGGGAGCGACGGTATTGGTGGATGTGTTCCCGAACGTCGGCGCGGTCGTGGTTTGCGTGTTCGAGCCGAATAACGATGTCGTCGTGCCGCCGAACATGATACCCGCTGCACCCGCTGCACCCGCTGCACCCGCTCCAAAGGATGTCGGGGGCTTTGTTTGTCCGAACATCGGCGAGCCGCTGCCAAACACCGAAGCCGACGCGGTCGTCGAAGTCGAAGTGACGCTGGCGTTGGAGAACAGACCGGGACTGACCGTGTTGTTCGACGTGGCCACGACGCTGGTCGTCTGCGCGAAGATCGAGGGCGCGGTGGTCTTCGGGCTGAACACACCGGCGGTTCCCGGTGGCACCGTTGTGGCTCCGAAAAGCGGCTGGCTGGTCGTGCCGAAGATGTTTGCAGTCGTTGTCGTTGTGCCCGACGTAGTGGCGAAAATAGATGTAGTGGATGTGCCGAATTGCGGAGCAGTAGTAATGGTTGCGCCGAACTGCGGGATAGCGGCAGTGGTGGTTGCTCCGAATATAGGGACCGCAGTATTGCTTGTCGTGCCAAAGCCGGTTGTATTGGAAGCAGTTGCAGCTGGTAGGGCTATAGGCGTAGATGCTGTACTTGGAGTGCTGGAAGCGCCAAAGACGAACACAGGTTTGCTGATCGACGACGTTGAAGAAGTAGTGGACGCACCCAGCGGAAACGCAGGTGCACTCGACGATCCAAACGCCGGTGTTGCAGTGGTCGTGGCAGTAAACGCGCTATTTGTCGATGTAAATGAACTACTAGTCGGCGCCAAAGTGTTAGACGTGAAATTAAACGATTTAGTCGTAACTTGCGGCAACGGCTGCGTCACCTGACTGCTCGGAGGGTTTCCGAAAGTATTTGTTTCTTTTTGAGCGCTACTGGACTGGCTGAATATGAAAGTATCCGACTTTGGAGGTTGCAAGGTGGTATTGTTGCTTCCAAAAGTAAACAAAGATGGGGCGGTTGATGCTGTCGTCGCGACGCTGCTCGATGTAGCGTTGTTGTTCGCAACGCTATTGAAACCGGCAATGCTAGCTGTAAATGAGCTACTGGTCGGCGCCAAAGTGTTAGACGTGAAATTGAACGATTTAGTCGTAACTTGCGGTAACGACGTCGTCTGAGCATTCAAAGGGCTTCCGAAAGTATTTGTTTCTTTTGGAGCGGCACTGGACTGGCCGAATACGAACGTATCCGATTTTGGAGGCTGCAAAGTGGTACTGTTGTTTCCAAAAGTGAACAAAGATGGGGCGGCAGATATCGTCGTCGCGACGGTGCTCGATGCTCTGCTGTTTGCAACGCTATTAAAACCGGCGATGCTAGCTGTGGTGGTTGCGTGTAGTTGTGGTAGTTGTGTGGTAGGTGTGGTAGTTGTAACTAATAATGTCGTCCCGGTGGTTTGAGGCAGCAAACTCGACGCCGAAGTTTGAATTGATGTGGCGGGGGAGAGTTTACTGCCACCGAAAGCGAAGATAGGACTGGCCTGAGTATTCGCTGTGATGGATGAACTAGCGATCGCACTTGTGGCAACAACGTTATTCATCCCGACTTTCGCGCCTAATGCGATGCTAGAACTTATAGGCGTGAACGTCAAACCTGATGGCGTTTTATTGATTGGCGTTAGGAAATTAGTAGACGTTGATGAAGCTGGCGTGGTAGTAGTGGCAACTGACACAAACGTACTACTGGTGCTGGATACACTGGTGCTATAGCTTGGCAATAAACTGCTCGACGTCACAGTTGCCGTTTTCGCGACTGATTTTTCATGACCGAAAGTAAAAGTCGGCACCGCACTCGGGATAGTCGAAGATACTTGGGTTTTTTGTAAAAATCCTGTGCTTGCAATTACAGATGCAGTCGACACGACTTTCGTTTGATCGCTTGTTGCAGCGGTCGAGTTTGTTGCTCTTATCTCAAGAGTGGTTGTTGCTGGAACGCTTGTTTGTGTCGGTGATACGACGTTCGGTAAGCTGAAGGTTGCAGTTGGTTTCGCATCGGCTTTTATATCTGATTTCGATGATGAAGAGAAACCTTGCGGTACAACAGCCGCAGTGGAGAGCGGTGTAGTAACAACGTTAGTCGTCGTCGTCGAGGAATTCAGAGTCGCGCAAGTAACCGGACACGTAACCGGACACGTAACCGGAGGCGTCACTGCATTAACCTCGTCCGCTTGAATCACAACGTCCGGATTGATTTTGTTCTCTCCTAAAAGCGTAAATAAGAATTAGCGAAATTGAGTCATTTATGATGTTTAGAGAAAAAGAAGCGTTTTTTTATCTTCGTCAGAGAAAGAGAAGTTATATTTACCTTTTCCTGATATTGCATCAAACATACTTTGAAGCCTTGCCTTCATACTAGTTTGCCTCATATTCCGTATGTCATCCCTCTTTATCTCTTCTACGTTGTTCGTCGCAAACTTAGCTTTTATGTTACCTGGTTCTTCCACGAGCAACTTTAACTGTTCATTCCGTTCGGGTTCAGCTCTCATAAATAGTTTATCTGTCAAATTTACAGGTTTTGTCGATACGTTAGGTTTGTTATCAATTTTGGTAATAGTTTTTACAGTTTTATGGATTATAGACGCTGCTTTATTCAACTTGGTTTCCCTGCTAGATTTCAATATTCCCTTCACTAAAGGAAAGTCTTCCGGCCTCTTATTTACTGCTTCAGGACTTCTAGAATATATTTCTTTAAGTTCTGGTTTACTATGATTTGTATCTAAGTTCTGAGATTTTGGCATAGTAGGAGAGGACTGTGCAGTTTCCAGAGATTTGAAATGCTTTTCAAAGTCGGGTGTCCCACAACGTGAGAAATCAGCTGTGGAAATAAAATAAAAGTTAGGTTAAAATTAATGCATTAAGAAATTTTTTTAAGTAATACTCACCTGCTTTTCTTTTAATACCAACAGGAACATTAATGCTGGAACTCAGCGAGTTTAAGATATCGTAACAGGATCGGGTTTTCGTACGTTTGGCTGGTCTGAGAGATTTGCTTAAAGGAGAAAGATCCTCATCTGATTTAGATGACTCGTCCCTACTTCGTTTTTGTTTGTTTTCTTCTATTATCATTTCTCTTTCTTCGTTAAAAAAGCCATCCGTTTTTTGCTTCTTAGCAACATCAAAACTAACATCCTCCATCGATGCATGCCGTTTTAATGATATCTCTCTTAAAACTTGAACAACGCTGGTAGGTGATTTGTTCTCCACATGACAAATATTGGACAGAACTTTTTGTCTTTCTGGCGGAGAATACTTTGCCACATCTGGCGGTGCCACTCTAACTGTCACAGGCATTCTCATCTTTCTCAACTTTGCATTTAACAGAGGTATTGGATTAGCGTGAATATTAACTTTTGGAAATTGCCCAGTGCTATACTGAGACTGATGAGTTAATTTACTTTTTGCTATCGTAGCATATTTGGTTAGCCTTGTTGTAAGGCCTGGTGATGATACATCTGTGAGTACCCTATATTTAAGAAACAGAACAAGATATATAAATATTGAGAATATTATTTACGTCTAATTATAATTATTTATAAAAATAACAAAAGTAGCATTATATATATATATAAGAAATAGTATCAATGTAGTTAAATCAAATCTATGTACATACTTTGGATCGATATTATATCTTGTCGATGCTAACAATGGTCCAGCAACTGTCTGAACTGTTTTGACACCTGCAGGCCTGGGACGTATCTTGGGACTAATACTCGTACCCCATGGAGAACCTTTAGGGCTAAACAGTGTGACATTCTCACCACGGCTTAATGTGTGATTCTGAGCATATGTGGTGATCTTATTAGTATGCATTTCGCGCGATTGTGAAATCAGTGCATCTCCATTCCTAGAGTCCTCCTCCTGGTCAGAAAGTCTCAACACTGGTGTGGACGTGTGCTTGCCGTATATGAGCTGCTGTCGGTACGGTGAGCGATTGTGATCGCCAGCATAAATTCTACTGTCCATCGCGTGTGTTTCGCGCGAACGGTACGGAACACGCGGGATCGGGCTTAGTTGATCGATCGAGTCCAACCTGGATAACGACGACGACGACGGCGACGAGTCCTTGCGCTTGAACATGGCGTTACCCGCGGCAGCGTACGAATCGCTGCTGAGCTGATAATTGCTCGCGCGTCGCCTATCCATCCTGAATGGAAAACGCTCGCGGTAACAACGTCTCACACTATGCCAGATCTTACGCACGTATCCGACACCGTAGCTGTACGCAATGTGTAGCGCCGCGCCGAGTTCCCGAACTGCCTCACGTAGGTAACCGAGTACGTGATACGCGTTGGGCGACACTAGGCTATCGTTCACGAGCAACGAGTAGCATACATATACCACCAGAAACAACGTCGACGCTAGTGCTAGGATCGCGCCCCAGGCGTTGTAGATCAGCACGCATCCACACGTCACACTTATCAACACCACGGAACCGCGGTTGCCGAAATCCCACATAGTATTATCTCAAAAAAGTAACCTCCCCATGTTTAAAAAGAGCACACTCACCGCAGCCGCCGGAATTGCCGCGAGCGATGAGGTCATCGATATATATCGATACTGCGGTCACTGATTGGTCGACTGCAATCTTTTTCCTTCCAAATAATAAAATATTGGAGAAAAAAACATACTTTCTATCAAAAGCAGAAGTAGAGTGTATAAATAGTACTTAAAAAAAAGAACAAGAATATAAAAAAAAAAAATAATTTTGATCTTTTATAATAGTCATAATACACGAATATTTAGATACGCAACAATACGCTCAATTCAAAGGCTTCGCACTTCAGGCATAAAGGTGCACACTCATACAGCGTTTTTGACTGAACGAATTTTATGATCCTTCCCAGATCAATTAATTACTATTTTACTATAAATTCAAGTTTTTTATTGGCGGAGACAATACAATGACGTCATTAATCAACTTTAGGTTGATCAAAATCCATTTAGTCGAAAACACTAAAAGACGAAAGAATTGCTAGGTACATTTATTTCAAAAGTGCATGCATGAATGCAGACCAATTCATAGTTGCACTTAGTCATCTGCATTTAATTAATCATAGGCCGTGCCCCACCACATCACGGATTCGCCGCAATGGCGAGTACGATTTCTGATCACACGTGACAAGTTCTAAGACTCGCGTGAGAAAGACCGCGTGAAGTGTACGAGTGTAAATTTTTTCCGAAGGCATTGTCCAAATCGTAAAAAGCAATGTCGTGGTTATTTGGTTACCGCAATTCGCAGCCACCACAAGACTTTTCACAATTTATACAACCGCCGGCGGCGGGTGGTAGCGGTGACGGCGGTGGTGGCGATGAGTCTCCGCCGAAAATCATCAGATCCCAAATGGATGCATACAGATTCGATTCAGGCGCACTAGAACGAGCTGCCGCGGCCGCCAAGGACCTCGAACGATCCAGTACGATGCCATTTTTTCACTCACTTTCCACGAGAAACCGCACGCACAATTACGTAAACGTATGTTTTGAGGTTAGGACACGCGCATGCGAGAGAACACCGCGTGTGTGATGACGCAACTTTACGCGAAGAATTCATCGATTGATCCGGCGAATATAGATTTCTCGGGAATGCCGAAGACGTTGGTCTTCGTAAATGATGCTGACAAGTCGATGACAATGTTACTATATTCGTCTGTCAAATGTTTATTATTTGTAACATTGTTTGAGATTTTCTTTTTAAACAAAATTTAAACGCTTTTCTTAAATATGCATGAATATCATTGTAATAAATTGAATTAATATTGCGCTTTTGCTCCAATTCTGTAAAAACATGACAAAATATTTAATTTTTTTAAATAAAACATACTAATTTCAGAATTTTATAATGGATTATATTATAAATTGATTTATATTATGTTTGCTTATTGCTAAGAATGTCAAAAATTTTGGCATTTTTAACATGATTTTTTAACATTCCTGAATTAATAAATATGTATTTAATGTAGGGCATGCAAAAGAAGCTTTGGACCTGTCCAAACTGCAGGAAACCACAAAGCAAGTGGAACTGCAAACTGAAATGAAAAAATATGAAGCTAGCATTGAACAGCTTAAAGCAGAGCAAAAACGGGTGGAAGGTGATGAGAGAAGGAAAACCATCCAGGAAGAAACCAAACAGCATCAAATGAGGGCACAATATCAAGATCAATTAGCTAGAAAACGTTATGAGGATCAATTGATGCAGCAACAAAAGATGAACGACGAGAATCTGAGAAGACAAGAGGAGTCAATAGCCAAGCAAGAAGCCATGAGAAAAGCTACAATAGAGCATGAGATGGATCTTAGGCACAAGAATGAAATGAGGAAATTGGAGGCGGAATTGAAAGCCAAAGCGAAGATTGACAGAGAAAACCAAGATCTCAATCTAGAACAAATTAGATTAAAAGCCATGGAAAAGAGGATTACCGTTTTAGAGTCTATACAGTAAGCAATCGACAAGCTATTGTGCTTTTTGTAATAATCGTAAGTTTAATTTTATTCATTACTATGTTCCAGAACCGCTGGTTCAGTATTAGGCAAGGGAGCCAAGGCTCTGCTGGAGGACTGGGATAAGATCCTCGCGGCGGCGGGTGGTCTGTCGCTCGTTGCCTTCGGAATATACACTGCCAAGGGCTCGACCAGCGTGGCAGCGCGCTACATCGAGTCCCGCTTAGGGAAGCCATCGTTGGTGCGGGAGACCTCGAGATTCTCGTTCTTCGACACTGTCCGGCATCCGGTTCAAGCGGTGAAACAATTAAAGACCAAGCAGACGGACGCGCTATCGGGCGTGGTACTGGCACCGAAGCTCGAGGAGAGGCTGCGCGACATCGCGATAGCTACGAAAAACACGAAGCGCAATCGCGGCATGTACAGAAATATACTGATGCACGGTCCGCCGGGTACCGGCAAAACCATGTTCGCCAAGAAGCTGGCGGAGCATTCCGGCATGGACTACGCGATCGTCACGGGCGGCGACCTGGCGCCGCTGGGCAGAGATGGTGTGACCGCTGTTCACAAGGTGTTCGACTGGGCGCATACATCGCGGAAAGGACTGCTGCTGTTCATCGACGAGGCGGACGCGTTTTTGAGGAAGCGTTCGAGCGAGCACATCTCCGAGGATCTCCGAGCAATGCTGAACGCGTTTCTGTACCGCACTGGCGAGCAAAACAGCAAATTCATGCTCGTCCTGGCGTCCAACACACCCGAGCAGTTTGATTGGGCGGTGAACGACCGACTGGACGAGATGGTGGAGTTCTGTCTTCCAGGCCGTGAGGAGCGCGAGCGTCTAGTTCGACTGTACTTCGACAAGTTTATTCTCCAACCGGCGATCGAGGGTAACAAGAGACTGAAGGTCGCGCAATTCGACTACAGCTCGCTGTGTAGCAAGATGGCCGATCTAACGGAGGGAATGTCCGGCAGAGAATTGGCGAAACTCGGTGTCACGTGGCAAGCGGCGGCTTACGCCTCGGAGGACGGCGTGTTGACGGAAAAGATGATCATGGAAAGATGTCTCGAAGCCATCAAGCAGCACAAACAAAAGGTGCTTTAATATTTTTCCAAAATAACATTTAGACATTTAAATTTCTATAATTTTGTAGTAATAGTTTATAAATTTCTATATATATAATTTTATTTTATATAAACATGTAAAATTTATTGCGTTGTTTATAGGTACAATGGCAAAGTGAACAAGAGAAGGCGGAATCAAAGTCGATATACGCCACGAAGGACGACGCAGTCGTCAGCTCGAAAACTCCGGCTATAGAGCAGTGTTCAGGAAGCACGATAGCTCCAGCGTAGATAATTGGTGATAAGAGTATGATTGATGGGTTTTAAAACATCGGGCTAAAGACGAAACTACTAAATAGAGAGACAGAGTACAAATGCCGCTGGAAAAGAATTATTCTGACGATCTTTGTATTTATCGTAATCCAACAAACTCGTGGTGCTCGACGGTCGCAGAGTCACTTGTTACAAATGTACATTTATATAGGACTATTAAATCTTAATTCTTCAATTGTATTTCGTTGTCTTTCACTTTTTGTCCTCGTGCCATCACGAAAGCGATCAGTCATTATAAATTACATGGATATTTTTTTTTTAAAGCGACGAAGAGTTGTTAATTATATGTGTTTACTGTGAAAAAAAAGGGGTGAAAATATCAAAGTTTCGGCCGTCATAACAATGACTGTATCGAGCTGGCTGCTTTGAGCTCGTAAAAAATAATTTGAAATTCACTTAATTTCTATTCAGATTTTTGCAATAATTTAGATTACTTAAACTTTAAGAAAACGTGACAAATATTTCACGCATGAAGAGGAATTTTATTCCGATTTATTTTCCAGAGTTATCGGTTATCTCCGACCGTTCTTTTCCAGAAAAACATGATGCGAGAGACGAAATACAGGAAATGTTGCAAGAGATTATTGCAATTGATGTCGCGAACGATTATTTTCGCACTAGTGTAAGATATCGCGGAGACTTGACGAGCTTGCAGAAAGAATCGCAAAGTGTCATACGAATTTTTCACTTTTATTTTCGTTTTTCTATTTCAAGAAGTTACGAGAATATTTGACCGAGTTTGCAGAAAAAGACGGAGTATCACTAAAAATCGAGATTTATCTGGTCTGTCGTACATTCTTGCGACGAGTTTATTATCAGCAAGGCACTTATCTAGTCACGAATGAGAACGTTATAACACTCGATTAATTTGACAAACCGTGAAATTGTTAAACATATGGTGAAGCGATCTTGTTTTTTTCCCTTTTCGCCATTTTATTACATGCACGCATTCGCTGATATCGGTTTTTTTTTAAACAGACATTGCTAGGGCCACTCTTGCATAATTATGCACGCGACCGGATCAAAGCGGCTCGCTTATCATTGCGCGACGCGCGGCGCGCCGTTAAGGACAGCGTATGAATAAAAGGTTGAAGCGGGTGAAGAGGCCACCTCTCAGTCATAACACAAGAATAAAATTCACGGCAAAATTATCTGATAGATGCGCTAAGCAATTAGTACACGTCGACAAAATGAAACACAAATAGCATCATGCTTGTCTGCCGACAAGTGAATAGCGCTATTACAAGAAAGTATTTCAAGTGGCAAATGATTGTCACTTAATATCTTTTTGTCGTCGTAATAATTTATTATAATAATGAATTATGATGACAAAAAGATGACGATTATTTGCTACTTGGGATGATCTTCTTGTGTGTGCTCTTTTCAGGGCAGCAGAGAAGAAAACTGGGGCATTCATGATTTAAGAAAAGGTGTGAATTGCTTGAACACATTTACATTTCTTGTTTTCAAAATATTACAAAGCTTAATATTATCAAAATTAAAAAGCTTTTATGAAGAAATATTAAAATTTATAAAATAGTTCAATGTAGGTATTCAAAATTAATTCGATTTTCGAAATTTTAATAAGCAGATTGCAATACGCCTAATTTTTTAGTACTGCAAAATTGTATATTTAAAAAAATCGAACGAAACGATAACATGAGAATATATTATCTTTTCGGAAATGCCTATTTTTACGTATACTTACATATATACTTATTAAATATGACGTTAACGGATGATTCTCAGTTTTTTTTTTCTTGACAGTTTATGTTTTGCGATATTTTTTTGCTGATCAAGCAGCTAGTTTATCGGTGATAACTAAGAAAGTTATAAACAAGGATTTCCTAGAAATTATTTTATGATATTCAAGTCATCAAGATTTTGCATTGTGATTTATGTGAAAAACGTCATCTTAATATGAGTTTTATTCAATACTTACGTACAACTTCACAACATATTGGTAATCTATAATTTTTTCACTGTTATCACTGATCAACTGATCGCTGATAAACAACAATATTTCCCTCTTGAATCTATAATAAAATCTACGTTGGAAATATAGTAAAATTCCTCTTCGATATTATTCCTTTTACGCACCTAGTGCATGATTCCAACGACAAGAACCTTCTTATTTATGTAAAACTAGAACAACAATTGCATATCTATGCAATTAACACATCAAGTTATACAATTATTAATCACACCCATTCGTTTTTCCTTGTAATGTAATCACTACCTGTAGTGTATAATTGAAAACAGAAAAAATATTACTTTAAAAACTGTTCAAGGAGGCTTTTAACAATTAAAACGATCGATTAACTACTGGAACGTTTAGTCAAGAATAAAATTATTTATTATTTATTGTTGAGAGATAATTTGCTTATTACGTTTCGAAAGAGATTTTCAATCTATGTTCACTCTTTTGAATACACCACGCCTTCAACTCCCTCCGGAATGGAAAGATATCTGAAATCATGTTTTTTTCTCGTCTGGCAATGATAAAATGTGTCGTATGATCTCCCTTCCTTCGAGCCGGTCGCAGCCTCCGATCACCCGCACGTCGACACACGCGTGGGTGCGACAACAAACCCCTCGATCCGCTTATCGCACGCGGCAATTGGGAGAAATGGCCACGACAACCTTGACAGTGCCTTCCAATGCTTATTTTTCACTCTGGCCTCTTCAGACTCTGTCTCTCTTCAGTCTCTCGAAATACTGTGCCGTCGAAAAGTTGATCCGAAATAAAGTGTCAATTCGTGCGACTTTTTTTCCGATAACAGCAGCGCAGACGACACAAACATCTGCAAAAACGTGTTGATCTTACAAAAATTCTCGAAGATAAGTTTTTTGCTTCGATTCTACTTACTCGAATATAAGTGTCGAATAGGAATCCCTCCGATAGGCATCCCTCTGCCCCGCCAAGACCACATGAGAAGAATTCGGAGAAGAGCGAGGGAAGCGATAACGCGAGTGTACGCGAGATCGCTTCTGAACTCTCCACCGAACTGTATATCATGGAGCAATCATGGGTCAATACATCAAGGTTATCATAAAATTTTAAAAAGGCTGGGAGAATTTTGTACGTCGCTCGCCTGCCTTAAGCGTCAGTCGTCAGTCGAAAACGTCGTCAGACGGCGAGTGTGATTACTTTTTCCGTTCGACTTATCTATTCGTATTCCTGCAACTTTGTCGAAATTCCCAGTCATTAAAAATTCATTGAACAGTCCAGTCTATCTCTTTCTCATTTACAGTCACGCGGACAGTTCGCGCACGTATATATTCGATACGCGCGGAGGACACTCTGCCAATAATTCGCGCAAATCGATCTCAGGCAAGGCAATCTGCGAATTTGCAGAATTTCTTCAGAAACTTGAATTGAATCGACTTCACGATTTGATTTCGAGCCGATTTTCTCTGTAAGATCGCGGTAATTCGTATCGATTATTGGAATCAGACATGACGATCTCGGTGACCGACGCGGCGCTCGACATGGAAAAGAAGGCGATTAATCGCTGCACCCGGCGCAACCCTTTCCGCAGCTGGCCGGCGTGGCTCTTCTGCATCGTGTTCTTGACAAGCTTCACCGGCTTCTACATCATCTGGTGCACCAATGTGTACAACAACTACCTGCTGTCACAGATGGAGTTGCGCAACGGCACCAATAGCTTCAAGTGGTGGCTGCAGCCACCCTTCTCGTTAATGTACAAAATCCACGTCTTTAATTACACAAACGTGGATAAGTTCGAGTCGGGTGTCGACGAAAAGTTGCGTGTCCAGGAACTTGGTCCGTACATCTACGCCGAGAAGCTGAATCGTGTGAACGTGGCGATGAACGAGGACGACACAGTGACCTACCAGGACAAGAGGTCGTACGAGTGGCTGAGTGGAAGCCCGGAAGACGACGTCGTCGTCGTGCCGAACGTGCCGCTGCTGTTTGCTACCGCGTTCGCACGCGATCTCAGCTTCCCGATGCGATGGGTCATCAGAACAACGCTGCAGTCCCTGCACGAGCGGCCGTTCATCAACGAGACGGTCGGCGGCTTCCTCTGGGGATACGACACCAAGCTCTTTGACATAGCCAAGCCATTCATGATGTTGCAACGGGACATACCGTTCGACAAGTTCGGCCTGCTGGCTATAGTAAGTAATTGATCGCGACGAAATTTTGATGATAAATAAAAAACTTTTGCCTTAAATTAAAAAAAAAAACAATTTTACACTAAATATTCGCTATAAGGAAGGCATAAATTTTGTGTAATTACATTACCTTTTTAATTTGAGAAACGAAGAAGTCTACGCGAAAGAATTTAATTAAACATTCACTATTTGATTAAATTTACTTACACTATTTAATGCAAAATTATTCAGTGATTTTATCGAAGTATTAATTTACAAAAATGCAATTATTACCTGAATCAAGATGCTGCTGTTCTCTAGAATTAGCGATTAATGTAAATTTATGTTTTAACTATAGAAAAAAGGTATCGATAAAAATCGCATCACTGTGAATACGGGATCGCAAGATTTCGACAAACTCGGCATAATCGAAAAAATAAATGGGAAGGATAATCGAGAAATTTGGGGCGACGAACGCTGCGACAAAATCGGAGGCACCAATGGCAACATGTTCCCACCCTATGTAGTAAAAAATACAAGCGAGACCATCTACGTGTACTCCAAAGAGATTTGCAGGAAGCTGCCGTTCGACTTTGCTGAACAAGTGACAGTCTTCGACATGCCTTCTCTAAGGTAATGAGAGATTTTTGTTAATAATATAAACTAATTAATTATAATAAATAAATATTGGAAATATTAGAAGAATTATAATACATTAAAAAGTGCATGAATGCTTCGTAAGTAATTATTTTTAGAATATTATTCTTAGTAATAATAAATTAAATGATAAATCTGATAAAAGTGTGGAATAAGTTTATCATCAAATTATACTCATTAAAATCGTGATAAATTAATCAAGTATTACCTCTATAAATGCTCTTTTGTCTCAGATATAAAATCAAGCCGGACACGTTCAACTGTTCGACAGCGCAGAACGACTGCTTTTGTCCGCGGGAACAAGATAATTCAAGAATCTGCCCGCCCGCAGGACTCTTCAACATTTCCGCGTGCAGCGACAACGCACCATTGCTCACATCGTTTCCGCATTTTTATGGCGGTGACAAGTCCTTATTGAAACTAGTAGACGGTTTGAATCCTCGGCAGGAAGATCACGAGAGCTTCTTAGACCTACATCCGGTATGTCCGACATTGATTCTTATCTAATTATTGAAAAAAGTATCAAATATATATATATATATATATTTGAATTAAAATCTTTGACTTTTAAGTATGATTAAAAAAACTTACGTTCATAATGTTATAACTAAGGCGTGGATGTTCGTGCACGATCCCGTGTCGCGCGCAGAGAACCGCTGCGTGCGAGTGAGTCGAGTACTCGCTGAGGTAGCATTTCTCGAGAAAACCCGATTGTCAATTCATCTGAATTCAATATATCTATCGTGTATAATGTGTATAATCGGGTCTTCTCGAGAAATGCTACCTTAGCGAATACTCGACTCACTCGCACGCAGCGGTTCTCTGCGCGCGACACGGGATCGTGCACGAACATCCGCGCCCTAGTCATAACTGATTTTAAAAAGTTACGTTCGGAAAACTATCGTCAGAATTAAACTTTTTACTCTTATATTATTGCAATAGATTTTTAACTTTTTGAATCATTATTACAAATGTTTAATTAATTAATTTTAGCGACTCGCGATGCCCATCTCCGGTTGGTCGAGATTGCAGATGAATATTGAGATACGCCAAGCGCGTATCGTGCCGGTCCTCGGGAATCTGAAGGATGGCATGATCCTGCCGCTCATCTGGATCGAGACTGGAGTGGACGACCTGCCGGAATCGGTGATAGACGTAATCCACGCTGCGCATTTCACTGCAAACACCGTGGAGAACGTCTTGCAATGGTGCACTCTGATCATTATGATACTCTCCTTGAGCGCGCTGGTCGCCTGTTTTTGGAAATATCGCATGGAACAGGATACGGACGTTCTCCGAAAGAGCTTGTCCGTTCAGAACACTCTACTCGCGTAATCCTGATCGATGGAAGTCGATCTAGAGAAAAAAAAAGGAGTTGAACAAACGGAGACTAAGACGTCTAAGGAAAAAATTTCGAAACACCACGAATGTTTAAAGAATTTTAAACGCTTGTCCTAATTTTTAAATGCCTTTTAAATTTTCTTCTTGGATGCCTTTGGACTCTCGTGCTGTTTGACCGCAGTAGAAAACATGAGTATAGTAACCGCAGTTTTCCGCCGAGTTGCACGCGGAAGTGAATTTAGAATGATATAAAGCTGCAAACTATGCCAAGAGAGAGCGAGGTGCTGTCATTGCGATACTTACGCAGAATACTTACACAAAAGAATAATTTCAACAATGACGATTGACAAATCTTGTACAAAAGCCTCGCAAATATTATTCGCGCACCTATCAAGTATTTTGTTGACGACGTATCGCTTTGACAAAATGTTTGCCAAAGAGCAAACTAGAAGTCTCATGAATGAAGCGGGATGCTTTTGCTTTTCAAAGAAAACGTTCTGAAAAATAATGCATAAGAATATTAATACCTGCTTGTAAATTTACAACTTACAAAAAATAGATAAACTAAAGACGCAATAATAAATAATTTAAAAAATTACTAGTTTCGGACTTCGTAAAAAATTACGAAAACAAATACTTTCGACCTAAAAATATCTGCTTTATTAATATGCAAACTAAATTGAATCTAATTAATTGTCTTTGAGAATACTTTGACGAAAATTTCGACAGCTATTTCATCGATATCTAACATGCAAAAGATCCTCTTTGTTCGTACGACTTATTATAGAATTATTCAATATTGCATAAGGTACAATCGATTTGCAATCGATTGTATAAATCATTTGTACAATTGTAGTTCCTACAAATATGTCGATGTACTGCGTTTCATCGTGAACAAAAAAAAAAAATATATATCTCGCAACGCGGTTATGTGATTGAGCTGTGAGATTTTTTCGTGCATTGAAATAAAGTGCAATTGCGGGTCACGATCCGTTGCCGTGTCGATCGCGGCATTGCATTCATCGCGTTACCGTCCGCAATATCATGTTTTGTCCGGTGAATATAGGTATGTCACATATGTTTATCGTGTTACCGATGGTAAATGACGACCGTACTTAATTAAACGGTGGCACGTCGCAGTACGTATTACATACGACCGTTCAATTAACGATTGAGCCCGTTATTTTACGGTGGCGAAATTCGATTCGTAGGGTGCTTTAATGTAGATTCTAAGTAACGTAGATTCTAAGTAACGTAGATTCTAGTAGTTTGTTATTGAGCTCGCGACACGAAAAGCTCGCGAGATCGTAATAATTAATCGATCGTTGTAACATAATTTTGTTTTCTAATAAAAATTGAATGACATAAGAGATGAATTCTTGATATCTATTTTCCATCACTCAAAAGTTGAGAACTTGATATAAAGAATGTGTATAAATATCCCGTGTTATTTTTTATTTTAATGTAATAGAAATATTTTGCTTTAATATAATATATAATAATAGATTTTTATTTCCACACAGCTATCTTTATATCAAAATTCTGACTTATCTTTCCCCAATGCTTCGATTATTACTCATGCTACATTTCGTAATTTATTTTTTTTCCTCGATTATACTATCAAGCAAATCGTCATCGCTCATTAATGTGCCGATAAGTGTTTAAAAGCGTAACGACATATTTGAAGAAATAAAAACTTTAATTTTTTTAACTTCTTAAGCGCCGGAAAAACTACTTTGTATATCAATGCAAAAACGAGTTTTTTTTCGAAAAATGAGCAATATACACATATCATGTGATAACGCATGATAATATTGCGTGTAATAACATGTGTTTCGCAACGCGGCAATATCGCGCGAGTGATATGGGAATGGAATCGTGAGTGGAATAATCATAAACATCAAATCGACATTTCATCACCAAATTAATTCTATCGTATATTTTCCTTATTTTCTTTATTCACCGTTTGCTTTTTAAACCCCGCGTCCTTCTCCATAAAAATAAACAAATAAAAGAAAATTCGATTTTCAATTCCTCGATTTTGAATATTCGACATGGATTTCTTTTCCTACAAAGAAAAAAAAATAATACATAAAAATAAAGTAGTAAGTAAAAATTGAAGATTTCTTCTTTCTTTTTTCACATCTGGAATTTAAATCAAAATCGATTCCTTGCGATTCGATTTTTTATAAAATTTATGTACGCGCGCAATTGAATATTAATTAGTAAAATACAATATTGAAAGATTAAAGTTACATAAAATTATATCATGATTACGCTGACACCGCTGATACGACTCGTGCGCGCGCGCGCCTACACAATTCGTTTAGCATCTTTTGATTTCTATCGTACAAAAGTAATTTATCTATTAGATCTAATTATAACATACACCTAATAATATTATTTAAAATAATAATACATGTACAAACGAATAACGAGAAATAATACATTCTTAATAATTACAATCGATAGACGATAACGACGGCCAAGTTCTATGTACACAGAAAAAAAAATTTCTGCTGTATTTACGGTATGTGCGTCACTCTATTACAGAAATCCCTCTCGTCGCAAACGCACTCGCACAATTCGGATTAAAATCGCGAACGATGCTTGGCCTCGGGACACATCATGGACGGAATATCAATTTTATCTTCAATCCTTACGTCAGTATTCGCAGCGATAATTGTCCGCATTGTCTCGCACGATTAAACAGCAATGTAAAATCTTGAGGACGCTTTGATCATGGAATAAGAAGCAACTTGTTAATATTAATAATTCTGATAGTAAAAACAGCACAACACGATCATAAATGTCATTGTGAATATCAATCAGATCTCTTACGAAGGATGATTTAACTCTAGCTTTCCATATCTTTTACTAAGAAAAACATTATAGAAAAAAGTTATTTGCATTTTCTTTAACAACATTAAAGCAATCATTAAAATAAACGAGGTCGCGTAAATTAAACTTGTAAGTGAATGATAAAACAATTTTTCTCATTAATGTTAGATAAATTCAACAAAAATCTCATATCAAGTTTATTCGTCAAGAAATTCTATATTAACGACCGAAAGAAATTGCGATAACAGTTTCGCTAAGAAGATCTCGATTCCAAATTCGCCAAAGGTTTTCTTTCCAAAATATTTTTCTCAAGACGAAGTTTCAGAAATTACTTTTTCGCAAAAGATCTATCGATTCGTCTCGCGCGGTAGAGCAACGTAATACTGAAACACCCGCTCCACAAACGTCGTCACACTCGCAATTTATTTGTAGTCACGCGACTCGCGTCTCTCAAAATATTCTCCTGGAAAAACGGGCAGGAAACACGCGTAACATAATATAAATAATTTAACATATCGGCGTGACGTGCGGCCGATAAAAAATTCCCGTCGCGCGAGCCGAGCCGCGTCGCTGCTCTCTCGCGCAACTCGAGTTCAACGGAATCGAGTATGAACCCGAGTATGAATCCTAATCAAAGTAAAGCACATGCCCGTCGCCTATAAGATAAGAAAGATTATCGTACAAGTCCCCGCGACACACTCACGCGAACACGCGTGATCCGCCGCGGGCAGAATCTGAGCACTCACGCACCTGTTGATTCCCACATTCGCGATCCGCTGATTGATCCGTCTACTTGCTGAAGGCTGGATTCAGCTGACCGGTCTTGGTGCTCGCGTTCGCCGGCAGCGGATTGCTGAGGTGGAGCTTCTCCTGGCGCTTGGCGGCGCGTGCTAGACACATGAGCGCGCCCAGCAAGACGATCGCGCCGATCGCGGCGAGGGCGCCGGACACCGCAGCGCGTGCCACTGGCGGTACTTCTACCGCCAGCTTCATCAGGGAGCGCATCTCTGGAGGAAGCTCGTCAACGCACTGAATGAAAAAAGAATGTCATCAGTCAAAAAAAACTTAATACGATTTCGTGCGTATAAAAAAGTTCCCTTTTTTCGTTCGCCAATTTCATTAAATAATTTGTCGACTTGTCCCAATTTATTTTCTGGATTGTTTTCTATTTAATAATCTTATGATCTAAGCCTCTTTTGAATAAAGTTTCATCTAGATTTGTAATTAAAAATTTTTTAGTCTCCAAAGAAAAAATTACTATCCCTATCATTATTCTGGTCTTTTATAGAAAATGAGGGAAAGAAAGACGATAAAAATTAAGATAGACAGAAGTAAAATAAAGTTTCTCGCAAAGAATATATAACGTATAATTATAATATATTATAATAAAGGTTATACATTAATAAAAAAATTCCCAAGCGCGTAGAAATGTAAACAAAAAAAGTTCCGTTTATTTGAGCATCGAAAAAACAAGCAGAAAAGGATCGATTTTTATTTTATATTTGTTCTGGCAAATATTTCTTAAAACAATCAAACCAGTCTTCGTATACGTTTCTTTCAAGTCTAAAACAAATACTTGAGGTAAAAATTTCTTTTAGAGGACGTTGCATCGTGCGGGGACGCCGTCGAACTCTTTATTAGCGACGTTGACCGGGACAAGTTCCATTAATATGAATCATGGGCTGAAACGCGCGTGACAATACGGCGCTCTACGTGCGCGGTATTCAAACGTCATTGCGGAGTTCCATCCGCGCGAACGGCCGACAACAGGCACGTTCTCCCCATTGTCGTCAGCAAAAATAAAATTTTACTGCATGGCCGCCTCGAAGACGATTACGACGATTTGTAAGCTATGCATAGTGCGCGTTAGTGACGCGAGCTAAGAGGGACAGGCGGGCTCCCGACGCTATCCTTGAAAGAGCCTAATTTAATTTCAGTTGCGAAAAAAACTATTTTTATTTTATTTCGCAATCCGCTTGTTTAAACAGCTTTTTATTCAGGACGCGATTATTTCATATTATTCATCACCTCGGCAGATGAATAATAACTTTCTAAATAATAATATTCTTTATCTTTCTGATGTGCGTGTTTTTATATCAAAACATTCAATGACTGTTTCCTCAATGCTTGTTATTTTTTATGACTTGATTGTTTAATTTCCATATTCCATTTTTTAGCCTTTCTTATCTTTTATTTTTATAGTTTCCAGCAAAACCAATAGTAACTTTTTATTCCTGTATTTCTAGAACATTAAACTGGATTCCACGCTGGATTTTTTGTTCATATCATATTCGTGAATTTGCATACATGTGGATCGAAAACGAGCGCCGCAAACATTCCGCGCTTATAACATCGATATCACCTGTATAATTACTAAAATTTATGCCGCGTTGGCCAGCTTAATGAGACGATGCAAATCGCTACGAGCGGTTTTCTTGCGCGGAGTATCATTTTTTTTTTTTTTGAGAACAGCAGGATTATTAGCCATGAAAAAGCGGTCGTCCCCACTTTTTGCATTAGTCTGCATCTTATTTATATCTGAGATTAACATCTAAGTACACACGCGGATAATCTCCGCGTGTTATTCCTCTTGAGCATTTTACGACTCACCGCGTAATAATTTTAAGTAAAACGCGCAATGATTCATACATAATTGTTCCGACGGCAGTAAAAGTGTTATGAGAGATCGATTAATTTCGAGAAATATGTATGACACGTGTTTTGTAGCTAAATCTCGCCGACGACTCGAACTCAATCGAGCGCCGCGAAAGATCGTGCAATTGTGAAAAAACAACTGAATAACTATAATTACGTAATTATTAATATTATATAATATATTAATTGATATTTCTCTCAACGCTGTGTTATATAATTATCATTATCGGTATTAAGACATCGATGGACGTCCGTTTGAGCGGAGATAATTGCGCCCGACGGTATATAATCGTGTACTTACTATAATAAGCGCTAGATACTTACATCCTCGAACCACATAATCGGGAAGACGATGTCGGGGAACGAAGCGACCTGCTTGATATCTCGTACTTGGCTAACCGCGAGATTTATCTGCATCCTCGCCCGTGCTCTCATGGCCGTGCCCATCATCGGCTGCACGTCGACGTAAAGCTGATGCTTTTCGGCATCTGGCGGCGAGATTCCTGTCACGGCGTTTCGTAAGGCCTGATCGGCTGTAAGAAATGCACCGAGCGAATGAAAGAACGGAGCGACTGAGAAGCCGAAGTGGCGAAAATAAAATTTGACACGCACCAAAAGTTATTTAAATATATAGGTCATAAAAATAAATTTCACTCATAATTTACAATGTAAGATAAAAAAAATTGTGAAGGACTAAATTTATGGTTGAAATTGCTTTGTTTTTCTTCATAATTTCTCTTTTTGAATTATAATATCCTTCATCACTATGCAGATTTGTACGAAATGCACCGGTTTTATTCGCCGTCGGATCGTCTCCACGTAGCGCGAATTAATAGGGAAACCAGTTTAGCCGAACGCTACGCCGGCATCTTTTGCATAATGACGTTGCTTCACGGTGTCAAAAGTCACGTCGCGCGGTTCCTCGTAAAACGAATACAATGCGCCGACGTTTAAGTGGCATTTAATTGCCGGTTTAAGAGTCGTACTTAAGACTCTTAATACTTTTCAAAACGCGTAAACAAAAGAGTAATGACGCTAATAAATCGGAATTCTTCGTAGTTTTTGCTCAATCTTTTTTACTCAGGATTGCGAACTCTCCTATCATTATTCTTGCATATAATTAAATGATATAAAGTGGACATTTATGTAAGCGTTATTAACTATCTCGGTTGGATCTTAGTCGTCACTGCATTAGACGATACATTGAGTTTTAAGCTAACAAAGAATATTTTTAATTAAATCTATTCAATGTAATTTTTCTACTACTGCAAATGACGCTGACTCTATAAAGAGAAATATGTTGATGTGCTGAATGGGCATTATTTATGTGATTTGAGAAAAAATATTATTTCAAAATTCAGTCTTGTTGGACTACTTATATTAATTTAATGTGTATTGAATATTAAGTATGTACATAATAATCAGCGCATTAAATTCTCCTTTTCTTTACTTTTTAAAGATATGAGAGAATTATTCATCTCTTTAAAAAATTTGAGAAGTAGACGCGATCAATATTATTATAATATTATATACGAATTAATCTGTAGATTATTTCTGACAATTATTTAACATAAGATACTTATCACATTTTTTGTCCGTAGAAAACTTTAACAATGAAAAATACTCTTATCAAATTTGTTATGAAATTCCTCAACGCATTCAATTCTAAAATATCTTTTATTTGATTTGAGATATCTCCCATTGTATGCCGGAGTCAATTATCCTACACCAGAGTTGCGTATATCTTATTTTATTGTGAGAGGCATTTTCGCACGCGGCGGTGAAATGCAGTCGCCTAAAAAAATTCCGGGTGCGCTGAAAGTAAAAGTACGCGGCGCGAAAAGTTCACGCAATAAACGCGAGAGAGTTCGTATGTGATATTTCGTGAGAGAATCGCGGCATTCCGGAGGACGTGTGAGAGAAAGAGAGATTGTTCCTAGAAGGAAGAAATAGGTCCGTGGTAACCGACCGCTTCAACCGATTCATACTTAGTCTCGCGATACCGGAAGCGGCGCGACAGGTAGCTCTCGTTTTACACAAAACTGGCACGCACTTAAACGTAAATCCGGCCAATCGGTCGGTTACCCGTTCTATGTGAAGAAAGGAAGGCGCTACGTGATCGATTCGTTAAGAAGATTCAAGAAATCGTGACGAGCGGTTGAGAGGCGCAGAAAAGAATCGCGGCGCCACAAACAGCGAACGCTAATCTAGTATAATCGTCACGATTAATCGTAAAAAATAACACGCTGAGTTATGCGTTACAATTACGTAAGGCGATATATTTTTATATTCATGCGAGATAACTGGAAACTGCGGCGTGATGATCAATCGCGTGATATGCGTCAAATTCGCAGTAAGCGACAATGATTCATGACAGTATCTAGTATCGGATGATATCGCGTCACAATTAAAGAAGCCCGCAATCAATTCTAATACCAACAATTATAAATGAAAACAAAACATGATATATCTGCAGCGCGTTACTTAATCGTTCTGCGTCTCCTTGACATTGAGAACGTCTGACAGTAAAAATTACGAGTGTTATAATCGATTTCTGACTTTTAACTCCGAGTTCTGTCGATGAAGTTGATTTGCGAACAACTCTTCGCTTCGGCAATTTAAAAATTATACGATACTCACCAAGATAGAAGTGCGGGAAGCTCAAAAGTACCGGCGAGTCGAATTGGCACAGTGACACGTTAAACGTGCCTTCCGGTGCACAAGGCGGTCCAGCCGGGCAGTAACACTGCTGCGAGGCCTTGTTCTCCACCGAGGTGAAGACGTCCGTTGGAGGAGAGAATCTGTAGCCGGGGATCTCACCGGCGCCTACTACGTCACGCTAGAATTCAAAAATACATAAAATATTTAAATACATATTAAAGCAGATTATTCTTTTGATATGGGGCACTTTCTCCTCATAAAAACTACAACTGCGTATCTACTTGTGAAATAAATACGTTGAAGTTCCAAATAAAAATATTGCAAAGAAATTTATTTATTTATTTAATTAATAAGAACTAATTTAACTATTTATTTCTTGCAAACACGCTAAAAGCACCTTTTTCCGATTAAAAAAAAATCGGTCATTACTGATTCAAACATTGATCGAGATATTAATTTAATATTACATATATAATATATTATATAAAGCAGAAGGAGAGTAGGTTTGATATCTTGTCGGATGCGATTTTATCGCGGGATCTTAAAAAATCGCAAGGTCTACCACGGAAAGCCGTCTGGTCATTGTCGACCGGATAATTATTGGCAATCGACAAAAATACAAACCTGATAAACCAGCGGCAGCGTCCTACAGAGATCCTTCTCGAAAATCTTGAGCTTGGTCTCCCTCGTGATGTGGGGTGGGAAGATGCTGCCGTCGGTGGCCGCGATGGAGTCGCACTCCGACGTGGTCCAGTGGCCGAGCATGTCTTTGCCGTTCCACCTGTCCATTATGCCAAACTTGGTGATGTCGTTGGCGCCCGTGAATATTGTATACAGATCCGGCATGGTGGAGTTCTTGCCGTACAGCAGACCGAACTGATCGTACGGCAATCTCTGGTCCTTGGGCACGACGTCCTTGGCCAACTTCAGCAGCGGATCATCGTAACCCCAAAGCAGTTGACCAACCGACACCTCGACGAACGGCTTGATCTTCAGAATATCCATGATGGACGCCATCGCCAGTCGTAAGAAGCGGGCAGCGTGCTTCGATTGGCTGGTCGCCGATAGCATGGGCACGTTCGGTACGACAACCAAATCATCCTCGGAGCCGACAGACAAAGTCTAGAATTTCCCCAAAGGAAGAACATGAGGATTTCTGACATATTCGCCTTGAGATGTCAGTGAGAAAAAAAGTAGCGATCTCACTGAATCATAGTTGAATGGGTCTAATGAATTTAAAAAAAAAATTAAATGTACGATGGAGATCTTTTTAGAAAATATAAAAAAAGACTAGACTAGTAAAAAACAAAATACGAAAAGAAATATTTTTCAGTAAAAAATTATACTATAAATAAAACATTGAAACATTTCAGAAGAAGGACAAAAATATAAATTATAGCGAAATAACAAGCTAAATGAATAAAATGCCGAAATGAATAAAAATAATACTTAAGATGTATAAAATTACAATCTAAAAAAGTTCAGATAATAAATGAAAACATCACGCAAAACAGGTCGCGACTAACAAACTGCCTTTGCATATTCGCAAATGTTCTGATTGCGTTTCCTCGAGGCAAGAATGATCGACGTGTGGTTTTTTTTTTGTCGAATTGCATTAACACATCCGACCGTAAGCTATAGAAATAGTTCTCTCTGACAGATGTAGAAAGTCTCCGCTAATGATTTCGATGCACGCATAAGAATAGCCGTGAGCAGTCGCGACAGCGACGACGGCGAAGAGACGACATGCATCTATGACCGATTTAAATAACGCAAAGAGACGGTGAGACGTCTCGAATTGTCATTCAACGCGGCGTGGATTCGTTGGCTTTTTTTCTTAGCAGCCAAGATTCCGAAGATGCTTACGCTTCTCGATAAACGAACAATCGACGATCACGTATGACACATCCTGTACGTGATAAATAAGCACGTTGTTTTGAATGACAAGCGAGCGGTTTTTGCATAAAAGCATCGAGGTCTCGGTTTTTGCTATTTTACGTTGAAATGGAAATTGTATTCGTGTGAAAAAATATTTATATTACAACATGCAAATTAATATCTAAAGATATAAAAAACACAAATAATAATTAAAAATGTGAATTAAAATGCGAAAAAAAGAAAAGTGCCAATATTGAAATACGTGCACGTGTCGAGATGGATTTATTAAATAAATGAAAATTATAAATCCATAAATAAAAGAGAAAATTAATCATTTTAATCATAAATTCAAGCAGAATTTTACCTCATTAAACTCGAATGACTTCTTGACTTTATAGGTGACCGTTCCATTCTCGTTGAATTGAATGTCCGTCTTCTCCCAGCGCTGTAGATAGACGTACGGGCCCAGTTCCTGTAGCGCCGGTTTCTCGCCGTTGTTCAGGAACTCGTCAGCGTTCGTCACGTTGTAAATATAAACCTCTAAGCGCGGGACCACCGGTGGTGCCTTCCAAAAGGTGTACGTACGACCACCCTCTCGCAACGTGAGCTCCTTGTCGATGACCAGGTTGATGAGATTCGGGAACAAAACCGCCAGAGCGGCGGCCAGGATAATTAGGAGAACTCCGATCGCCACCGCCGCCCCTGAAAAAAAGACGAGACGCAAGGATGAATCACTTGGTGACCGCAAGCCGGCATATGCCAATCGGTATTTCCAATCAATTAAAACGAGCGGATTAGAATACACGGGAGTGGAGAAGAATCGTAAAACGCAACTTTCAGACAAGCTCGCATACTTCGAAATAAATTTCAACGGTGTTTCATAATCGCGAAGTAAACACGAAATACCGAAGAACGTGAGAATAGAGAAATCATGATAATTTATTTCGTGACGGCACTCGTTTATTAATTCTCGTTCGACTAATGTTTCTTAATTCTTCTTTCTGTTGCGTGTCAAATATATTGGCGATTTTGAACAGCAATCACTAACGCGATTATCTTTCACGGCAACGTTATGTCACGACCTTCGATCGAGGTTGTCGACTTGCAATTGATTCGATTAGTAGGAACCTCGGGGATACAAGGCCGACTGGTTTTGGAAACCCTTAGGCTGCGTCTCCTTGAAACAGTCGTTTTCTTTTTGGTCTTCATCCGATAACCTGTATCCTGATTTTTATGCATTTATGTTCCCGTCGTTGTAAGCCTCTCTCGCCGAGTGCAACGAAACAATCGCCGAGTGTAAACCAGTCGCAGCACTTTGCGCCTTTCTCGTAAATATTTATCCTTTTGCGTCTCATTTCTGTCCGCTTGAGTGTGTGTGTCACGCGTTATTATTTGCCCATGTTATTATTTATGCCGCAATGCACTCGCGCAAACTGTACTTAACTCTGCCCGTTATTCGTAATAAATAAGCTCGGTGCAACTAGTTAATCGAAAGCAAGTAACGTCACATCGGCAATCGAAGATATGAGAGAAATCATAAGAGAATAATTTTAAATTATTATTCGTGTCGAAAGAACTTATGCGCAGACCAGTAGCACTGCGAAAAGCTGTAAAAATGGTTTAGGAGAACATTTACGAGGTGTATAAGATAAACGTAAGATACGTATGCTTTCTACACCTTATTCAAATCTTTATTATTTTTATTTAATCACCTATTTACTTTGCATCTCTCTCGGATTCCCATTTCAATTCTATTTTTAGCATTTCTGCCTTCTTTTTTAATTACAAAGCAAATATAAAAATTACTTAACATTTTGTCCTTGAATGCCCGAAAAAGTATTAGAAAACGCAAGCCTTGCGTACACAATTTATATTAAAACAGATCTTCGAAGTATGCAAAGACCTTCACCTCATTTGACAAATTCGAAATTCGCTTGGTTCACATATTAATTGCGAATGACGAAGCAACACATCGGCATTAATCGTCTACATGTGGAAATAAATTTTTGTGAGGTCAGTCGTTGCGTAACCTCATTTGAAAATTATTAGCGTCGTAGTAATCATTAATTATTATAATTTAACAACCATTAACTGTTATAATTAAAAACTAAAATTTATACCTACTCACGTTTAATGAACCAGTTCAACTACAAATATTAACGAATTCGAATCGAATTATTCGCTTTTTCATTAAATTTATAAAAATATTATGGTTTCTCGTGAAAAATCTCAACATCCTACAATTTCGTGATTGCATTGCAATTTGCATCCCGGTAATGCGATTCCTGAAATCCCTCGTGCGTTGCCGATCGCGCTGTTCCATTTTCCTCGCGATAGTTCAAGATCCTCGAGCTATATCTTACCGAGCACGTGCCGTCGATACGTTTCATCAAATCATCAAACTATCGCCCACGCGACGACACGCAAGCGGAAGAAAGACCCGACGGCGATGGCAGCGGTGCATCGATGCTCACGTGTATCGGACTCACTTTCTAACAGAAAACCGTAAGTCCTTCAAAGTCGCTTCTACGGAAGAAGAAGTGCGGGGGAACTCCTTTCGTCCCTCTGCGCGCGTTCCGGCTTTTCTTTTCCGGCTTTCCACGCCCGCGCGTACGCGCGCATCCGTTTCACGCTACCGTAGGGCAGCGATTTTTACACGCGGTTGCGCTCTTTACAGGAAAGCAACGGAACCAGACGCGCATCAAGAATATATATTTCATCGCAGTTGTCTAGTAAAGCCAAACTCGTGAAACCGAGTCAGAATGCATAATTAATCGCGATTGTGGAATTTAATTGACGATACTAACACAATTCCAGAAACTCTTCATATCAACCTTGTTTTTCTTTCTTTAATAACTTCTACGCCGATTTATAGTTTCAACACACACAATTTAGTCGCCACATCCTTAATTTAAATATTGAAATATCAAGAGGCCATTTCTAATTCTTCACATTTACTTCTGGAATGTATTTCTGAATACAAATTCTGCCCAAAAATATTAAATGCTCAAACAGCGAACAGTTTCATTTATTTCATGGCGCGATGTATTCCGGAATGCCATTAGAAGATAAAAAGTGAGAGAACCGTTCCAAGCGTTAGGAGATATCAGAGAAAATTCGTTTATTTCATCAAGCTCGTTTTTCCCCGAGGCTATAATTCATGGTGGTAGCCGCGATTACTCGCAGCAGCGTAAAACTCGAGCAAGGAAATTTCTCTTATTTAGAAGCGTTACGACCGCGACCATGTTTTCGAGTACTTGACCTCCATTTCCTATGGAGCGCCTAACTTTGTGAATGGTGCGTGATGTATGACTACGCGATGGCTAGGTACATGACTACGCGTGTTATGCCAATACTGCCCAGCCGAAGCGCGCACTGAAGCTAAAACTTGCGTACACAATCGTAACTGATAATCAAATCTGATTAATTACATACTTCGTTTCAAACGGTTAATGCCTCTACACGAAACCATTCATACATTACTTCAAACAAATTTTTTTTTAATTCTAAACAATTAATGCTTCTACATAAAAAAATGTATAGACGGAATATTTAGTATTTAATTAAAATATAATTAATTAAATATTTTGTGTCCTACATAATTAATGCTTCTATAAAATATTTACTTGAAATAAAAACTTATTCTAAATTCAATGCACCAGAACGCGGTTAAAATTTATTAATTAACGCAATATACTTTCGAATTATTAACAAAAAAATACTATCATAATTTATATGCACTGTCAAAAAATTTAGTAAATTTACATAATAAATAATAGAAATATACCAAATAAATAGTACAAAATTTATGAAATCATGTAAATTTACGCTACTTATTTAGTATATTTTCATGATTTATCATGTAATTTTTACATCTCATTCGTGTGAATTTTTTTCCGAATTTTTTTATGCACTCGGTATACGTGCGAATTGACTTTCTCGTCTGAAATATTATTTCGAACAACCGATTACCAAACAAACTCGATTACTAAAATGCGTTTACGCAAGTGCGCTGAATTCAGAGTCGCGCTGCATTCCTGACGAGCGCCAACAACCCTGTCCCGTCGGGTACGCGCGAAAACCAGTGTAAGCGTAAAAATCGGTGCCCGGCCGTGGTCTGTCTTGCGACATCATTTTGTGTTTCACGTCGCAACCGATCGTGCATGCAGTAAAAATTGCCATTACGTTTGCAGTCACGTAGAATGAGGTACTGGCCGAGACAACGCGGCCTTCGATACGAACGCAGTCCTATTTTACGATGTTCGACAGGTGCGATCGGCCTGGACGACGACTCAGCTTCCAAGAAACGATAATACAAGAATAGAAATCGATACTTTACGCGCCGTCGTCTGCTGAATCGTTTTTCGAACGTCAGCACGAAACGGTAATGCAAAATTCTTGGACGCGTTTCGAAATTTCAAAAACGCATTGCGCGAAGACGAGCGCAGGCGAGAGGGGAAACGCGTATTATTAACCCATCAAATTGCTCGATTCGCCTCGAGACATCGGATATTGCGTCGCGCGTAATTATCGATCGGCTCGACGGCGAAAGATTATAGACAATCCGCGTTTGTAGCCGTTTTCAGTCCTAATGACATCACGGAAGTTTTAACATCTTCTAATGAAACGTACGACTGATGTATTACAATGTTACAAGTGTAATTCTTAATTTGTCATCATTATCTTCCGAGTAAAATGATCAAGCGTTTTATTGTTAGCTAATAAAACATGAAGAATACATTATAAGAAGGTAAACAACTCCTCGATTCCTTATCCTGCATTTTTCTTTCTGCAAGATTTATTCGAAAAGAATAAAGTAATCCCAACTTTTTCGCAAACATTTCTTTACATAGATAGCGATTGTTCTTTATTCGAAGGCCATGAGCTTCAAAACAATGTGCCCCTGCCGAAAAGGGGAAATCATCAAATATGCATGCGTATAAACTGCATGCGCAATAAACAACCTCGTCGCGATGTAATAGCTCAGTTCTTATAGGAGAAAGGATGTCTTTGCATGACAGATTCGAATCGCACGAGACCGAGTGAATGCCTTGTAATGTGCTCGATGCCAATTTGTTATGCATTCAGTCACTTATGAGATTTTAAAATTACGATCCGCAAACTACAAGATCGTACAACTTTGATGCTGCAATAATCACCAAAGAGATTGCACTCATAAAAGTATGACACTTATGATAAACTTACGAAATAAATTGCTAATTAAAATTCTGTGCAAAAAATTATTTGTATATTATTCTAATATATATGTACTTAAAAAATAATAAATGTTAATTTTATATGTAAAATATAAATATAAATATAATTTTTTACATTCAAAAAAAAATTTTTTTAATGACTTGAAAAATAATAAATATTAATTTTATACGTAACATATAAATATAAATAATTTTTTATATATATTTTTTCATTTTTTTAATAACTTGAAAAATAATAAATGTTAATTTTACATGTAAAATATAAATATTAATTTTATTTATAAAAAATTATTTCTCAAGTCATTAAAAAAAATGTCCAAAATTCTTGAAACTGCAATAAACCTTTCAGGTTTAACTGTAAATTATATATATATATAATTAAACGCTACAAGTATATTAAAATATTAATAATAAATGAAATCATCAATAAAAATAATCAGTAAAATTATGTAATATAAGAGATAAATGATATTTCCATAATAAAAT